GTAAGTAGAAGTATAGATTAGTGTATTGCAGTTGATGTGATCTACTTGGATTTTGCCAAAGTGTTTGTTACAGTTCCACACAATAGATTAGTGTTCAGACTCAAAGAAATTGGTCTAGATGAAGATTTGTGTTCTTGGGTAAATCATTTGCCTAAAAATAGAGTACAGAGAGTTGTCATTGATGGTATATTTTTAAGCTGGACAATAGTGGTAAGTGATGTCTCTCTGGGTTCTTTTCTGGGACTGCTTCCATTTTACATAGTTATAAATGATCTTGAAGTAGGCATTGAAAGCCATGTTTCAGTGTTTGCAGATGACACAACACTAAGTAAGGTAATGTTATGTGAGAAAGATATTACTTGGCTGCACAGAGGTTTAGATAGAATGGGGGACTGGGTACTTGAATGGCAGATCACATTAAATGCAGATAAATTCAAAGTTATGCACTTTGGGGTAAAGAATGCACAAACAACTTACACCTCAAAATGTAGTGAATTAGGGATAACAACACATGGGAAGAATTTTGGGATTGTTATAGGCAACAAAGTAGGCAATGATGCGCAATGCCAATCAGTAATTGGTAAGACCAGTAAGGTAATGCCATACATAAAAATGGGCATTCAATCTCAGGATGAAAATATAATTTTACCTCTTTAAAAATGTTGTTATGACACTAGAAAAATTCAGAGACAGACTAAGGGGTTTTAGTCTAAGATGGTAAGAATTATCTGCCTGAAGAGGTGGTTTTATTTGTACAGATGTTTAAACAGTAAATGGATGAATACTTATAATACTTTCAGGGATATAATTTTTAATATGTGGGGTCACAGCTTCTTGATCTATGGAGAAATCTGACTACCGTTCTGTGATCAAGGAGGATTTTTTTTCCTAGTTTGTTGCAAAATTGGAAAATGCTTAAACTGGTTTTTTTTGCCTTCATTTGGATCCATAGCAAAAATTGATGTGCGAAAGGCTGAACTTGATGGTCACGTCTCTTTTCAGCCTATATAACGATACTGCTTTGGTCTCAGTACAAGATGTTTGCTTTTATAATTAAAATATCTCTCCTACCTCCACTTGAAAAAGCCACTTTTTTATATCAATAAAGGTATTTTGGCTACTTTCCATTGTGAGTGTGCCATTTTACTTTTTTATTTGTTACTATTTTATATTGTTACCTTCTACCTGGCATCCATTTTTACTGTTCCAGTGAGGACTACTCCTAAAGAATCCTAGGTGGGGTTATACCACTTACGCCTACACATTGAGCAGTCTGCCTGCTCAATTAAATGTGAGTAACTATTCATTATTTTATACTACTGGTACCTTTCATACTGTGAGCACTATTGTTGTCTCTTTTATACTATTTATGGTCTTCATACTGATGAAACACCTGTCTATCAACATCTCCTCATGTATCGTATAAGTGGGGATTGTACCACTGTACGCTATTCTTACTAGAACTGGGTTTAAGCTCTAACAAATGTGAGTAGGACCATAAAGACTTATTCTATTGTTATTACTTTTCTCTGGGATATACTGCACCATTAGTCTTTTTTTATTTATGGCTCCAAAGGACACCCTGATCTGGCTCTTTTATAGAAGAATTTCTCTGACAGAACCGAGGCTATATCTTCTGGCAAGTTTTTATTGGGACTTTATATTGGACATTTTATTGTTATTATTCTACTTTGGTCTGTTTTATTATATTTATTATTTATATTATTTTTACGCTACCTCCATTCCCCTTGTTCGTCCATTGCATGTGCCTAACCTGCATAGCTGGAGAGTCTCTATTAACATTGGCTGCAGTGTCTGTAATTCATGGAAGTCCTCTATGATGGAAGAAGAAGGATTCCCACAGTCCCCCCCCGACCCCCCCGCACTTGTGGAACAGCTGGATAGTAGCCATCGGAAGTGTACACTGCAACATAACCTTCTTATGAAGAGACGAAAGCAGTGAAGGCAAATGTCTGGCTGAGTCTGAGACCATGGACAAGGGATTTCCCAGCTTCTCTTCATCCTGGATAGTGGGTCGCTCAAGTGGAAAAATCATGTGGTTTTGGTAACAGACAGGCAAGGAAAAAAAAGTCCCAGGTATTTGGCTTGTTGTAGTGTGTGTGGCATGATGAGGCTGCCACTGCCTTCTTCCTTTACAGATCTTGTGTCTGTGATTTTCCCACAGGGAGTTGAAGATGTTGTTCTAAAGGGCTGAGTATAAATAGACACCCAGAGCAACATAAAAAAACTTTTCAGAATTAAACTGTTATGATGCAAGGAGATCTCCAGACAACAACTTACCTCAAGGGATTCAACTTTTAACGAACAGTTTAATTTCAAAGTCTATTCTCTGGCATGCATGAGCTTTGCCCATCTACTTCCACTACAGTCCAAGGCTTGGATCAGGAAGCATACCTCCCAAACTCGGCAGTCCAGTTATTGGGATGCCATTGGGAGAGGGTAAACGAGATGGGCCAGTGACATGATTGATCTCTGGCTCCACCCTAGAGGAGTGTGCCTGCCGGGGGGTGTTTGTCCACATTACTGGCAGGGCAGCCTCGTATGAATACATGCCAGACTGACTGCTAATCAATCAGGCCAGCCCATTCAGGGTAGACCTTGCAAGGAGCATTATATTAGTGACCCTTTCTGAATATAGGAATCACATCTGCCTTTCTCCATTCCCTCAGTGCAATTTCTGAAATAAAAGAATCCTGAAAGGCTAGAAACAGAGGTTTACTTATTTCCAGAGTTATAATACCCTGAACATAGTCTGGGCATGACTAATAGAAACATAGAAACATAGAATGTGACGGCAGATAAGAACCATTCGGCCCATCTAGTCTGCCCAATTTTATAAATACTTTCATTAGTCCCTGGCCTTATCTTATAGTTAGGATAGCCTTATGCCTATCCCACGCATGCTTAAACTCCTTTACTGTGTTAACCTCTACCACTTCAGCTGGAAGGCTATTCCATGCATCCACTACCCTCTCAGTAAAGTAATACTTCCTGATATTATTTTTAAACCTTTGTCCCTCTAATTTAAGACTATGTCCTCTTGTTGTGGTAGTTTTTCTTCTTTTAAATATAGTCTCCTCCTTTACTGTGTTGATTCCCTTTATATATTTAAATGTTTCTATCATATCCCCCCTGTCTCGTCTTTCCTCCAAGCTATACATGTTAAGATCCTTTAACCTTTCCTGGTAAGTTTTATCCCGCAATCCATGAACCAGTTTAATAGCCCTTCTCTGAACCCTCTCTAAGGTATCAATATCCTTCTGAAGATACGGTCTCCAGTACTGTGTACAATACTCCAAGTGAGGTCTCACCAGTGTTCTGTACAATGGCATGAGCACTTCCCTCTTTCTACTGCTAATACCTCTCCCTATACAACCAAGCATTCTGCTAGCATTTCCTGCTGCTCTATTACATTGTCTGCCTACCTTTAAGTCATCAGAAATAATCACCCCTAAATCCCTTTCCTCATATGTTGAGGTTAGGACTCTATCAAATATTCTGTACTCTGCCCTTGGGTTTTTACGTCCAAGATGCATTATCTTGCACTTATCCACATTAAATGTCAGTTGCCACAATTCTGACCATTTTTCTAGTTTACCTAAATCATTTGCCATTTGGCTTATCCCTCCTGGAACATCAACCCTGTTACATATCTTAGTATCATCAGCAAAAAGACATACCTTACCATCAAGACCTTCTGCAATATCACTAATAAAAATATTAAAGAGAATGGGTCCAAGTACAGATCCCTGAGGTACCCCACTGGTGACAAGTCCAAGCTTCGAATATATTCCATTAACTACAACCCTCTGTTGCCTGTCACTCAGCCACTGCCTTACCCATTCAACAATATTGGAATCCAAACTTAAAGATTGCAGTTTATTGATAAGCCTTCTATGTGCAACAGTGTCAAAAGCCTTACTGAAATCTAGGTAAGCAATGTCTACTGCACCACCCTGATCTATAATTTTAGTTACCCAATCAAAAAAATCAATAAGATTAGTTTGGCATGATCTCCCTGAAGTAAACCCATGTTGTCTCTGATCTTGAAATCCATGTGTTTTAGATGTTCATCAATCCTATCCTTTAACATGGTTTCCATCACTTTCCCCACTACTGAAGTAAGGCTTACTGGCCTATAGTTGCCCGACTCCTCCCTATTACCTTTCTTGTAAATGGGCACAACATTCGCTAACTTCCAATCTTCTGGGACTACTCCTGTTAACAATGATTGGTTAAATAAATCTGTTAATGGTTTTGCTAGTACACCACTAAGCTCTTTTAATAGCTTTGGGTGTATTCCATCAGGTCCCATTGACTTATTTGTCTTTACTTTTGATAGTTGAAATAGAACCTCTTCCTCTGTAAACTCACGTGTAATAAATGACTCATTTATCCTTTTTCTCAACTGAGTTCCCTTTCCTTCATTTTCATCTGTAAATACAGAACAAAAATATTCATTGAGGCAGTCAGCTAGACCTTTATCCTCTTCTACATACCTTCCTTCTTTTGTTTTTAATCTAACTAATCCTTGTTTTACTTTTCTCTTCTCCTTTATGTATCTAAAAAATGTTTTATCCCCCTTTTTTACTGACTGTGCTATTTTCTCTTCTGTGTGGGATTTGGAAGCTCTTATAACTTGCTTAGCCTCTTTCTGCCTAATCTTATAGATCATTTTGTCTTTCTCACTCTGGGTTTTTTAATTATTTTTTTACAATTATTTATTGTTTAATAAACTTGTTTTTGTTTTTTGGACCCTGTGGTCCTTTTAGACGAGCCTGTACTTTATACATTTGGTATAGTAGTCCCAGGCCCTCACTAGTTCTCTCCCTACCTGAAAGGTACACATCTTTTTTGTTTTGTATCCATTTTCACTAGGGGTTATCCCCCTCTCTTTGTTTACCTTGGCTGTATTTCAGACACATTTTTCATTTTACTTTAGGTTTCAGTACCTTTACTCTACAGCCCTGAGATAGATTATGTCCACCTTCTTATCTGGCGTAATAAACCCGGACCCTGGACCTACAGACATTAATAATGTGTTTTCATTAAATCCTCTTAACCTATTACCAAGTACTGATATTAGTGAAGTATTCTTCACAAATCAAAAGCTGTATCAACAACAAATCAAAGGTTACTGGGAGTTGATTAGTCTTAAACAGTACCTGGATCACAAATTAATTCCACGGGGACTTAGACCCGAAATATCATTGCCAGAAAAAGCCATTACAGACGAACAAATCAAAGAATGGAATAGCATCCTTCTAGATTGTTCGGCTAAACTTATTCAGTTCCTGGTCAAATTAGAAACCAATAATTTAGATACGGTGAACAAGAATCTTGAAAAGGAACTGGCAAATGTAAAAAATTTCAAAGATAGATCAGAATTCTCCCTTCAAGGGAAGTTACCGAAAAACCTAGAAGGCTTTAAGAAACATGTTAGGGAAAAGAAACATGAGAAGTATTTAAGAGACCATAGAGACTTTCAGGAAGGCAATATTTTTCGAATAAAAAGATCTAGAAAGTATTACAATAGTAGGAACAGTTCCAGTTCCACAGATTGGTCCGATTCAGACTCTAGTTCCTCTAGAAGAGATCAAAAGAAAACTTATTCACAACCACCTAAAAACAGAGGTATCCTTAAGACTCGGAACGTCACCTTTCCAAACACCCCAATTCTTGAAACGGCAACAGTTAGCCAGACCTTAAATACGGAGGGACAACTTCCTTTTTTAGAGGAGGACTGGCCCCTTCCACAGAGAGACAAACTACGAGACAGACGCAAATGGGGTTACAAACGGGACAAAAGACCAAATCAGTACTAACAAGTGACAATATGAATCAGATTATCAATCTATCTAAATTTAATCTACAACAGCATCACATTTCACTACTTCAAAAAGGTCTATCCTTTATCCCTACCCCTAACGCCAACAAATTTGATTGGATCAAGGACACCAATCTCTTTGGGCGGAAATTAGCTCTAAATGTTGTCCATAAAAGAAAGGAATATAAATTGGCCAAGGAGGCAGGTATTCCTTATGATGACTACTGTCTTCATCAGACACTAATGTCACTATTGGAAGAACAAAATCTTGAACTGCCACTCACTGATTCAAAACCAGAGAGTTGGTTTACTCCCAACCTAAGTGAAGTGTCAAGTGTTGACCTTTTTATACAAATGACGACATCCGCCATTGAATCACTCACTATCCCTAAGATAGTACATGATAATCTTACTACACTTCAAAGGCGAGCCCTTAAAGAGTTGAGTACAGCAGTAGATCTGATCATCAAACCCTCGGACAAAGGTGGCAATGTTGTCCTGTTGGATAAAGATGATTACCTAGAGATGTGCATGGAACATCTCGAGGATTCACTTGCATATCATAAACTTACCGGGGATCCCACCCCCCAATACCTTGAAGAACTTAAGTCCATTCAGCATTGGACAATAAAATCATTACACAAAATGAATACAAATTTATACTGCCACATCTTAATCCTACCATTGCCACTCTATACTGCCTTCCCAAGGTACATAAAAATATCAACAAACCACCGGGCAGACCAATTGTATCTGGGAATGGCTCCATCACCGAGGGAAGTAGTAAATTCTTAGAGAAATTGTTGCATCCGCTAGTTATTGATCTTCCGTCTTACCTTCAAGACACCAAACAAACTGTTATTCTTTTAGAAAATCTGACTGTGCCACCCTAGTGCCTTTTGGGGAGTCTTGATGTTGTGGCTCTTTACAATAACATACCTCACTCTATAGGTCTAACAGCAATTCGGTATTTTCTTACAAAATCTAATAAATTTTCTGTATGTCAGACTAACTTCATTATCCAACTTTTGCAATACGTACTTACACATAATTTTTTTGTCTTTAATGGTACATATTACCTCCAGCTCAGGGGCACAGCTATGGGCACGGCTTGTGCCCCTAGCTATGCCAATCTATACCTGGGCTGGTGGGAAGAAACCATTCTAGACCCCATCATTAGCACTAATTATCAAACATGTATCTATAGTTGGCACAGATACATCGATGACGTCTTGGTATTTTGGTTAGGTTCTGTCAAGCAATTCGAAGAATTGGTTGAACTCCTTAATGAGAACTCTATTGGCCTTCAATTAACTCATGTAATAGACTCTGAACATCTAGTCTTTTTGGATCTCAATATTAAGATTCTACCCGATGGAACCATCGAAACAGAGCTCTATCGGAAACCAACAGCTACGAATAGCTTGTTAAATTGGGACAGCCACCATCCCACTAAACTCAAATCACGTATTCCATATGGACAATACTTGAGGGCAAAACGCAATTGCTCCAATGATGCTACGTTCCAGCTTGAAGCTAAAAAGCTGCGAACTATGTTTAAACAGAAAGGCTACCCCAACAGAATATTGAAAAGAGCCTATCAACAAGCTTCAGCTAAAAATAGGAGCGAGAGTCTACATACTAATAGACAAGTTTCGGACTCCCACATTATCCGATGCATTGGGACATTTGACCAGTATTGGGAACCAATTCTACATATCATGTCCCAGAATTGGCCAATTCTTAACTATAATAAAGATCTTAAGGATAACATCAGTAAGTTTCCCAATATCACTGCACGCAGGGCTAAGAACCTTCGTGACCACCTTGTACACAGCCACTTAGAACCTAACCGCAATCCAACATGGCTAACTCCTGTCGCTGGTGTATTTCAGTGTGGCCACTGTAAGGCCTGTAAACATATCAAACCCTCCAAAACTGTTTCTAGTACTCGTACAATATTAAACAATTTATCAATTGTAATTCTACAAAGGTGATTTATCTCATAACCTACAGTTGCAACATCCAGTATATTGGTAAATCTTACCAACAATTCAAAAGAAGGATTCTTCAACATATATGCTTGATCTCAAACCTGAATGTCTCTACCCCACTATCTAATCATGTGAGGCTCCATCATGGGAGGTGATTCTAGCCATTTGACATTCCAGGCTATTGAAAAAATAACTTTAAATTCTCGGAAGGGCAACTTTAATAAAATACTACTCATGAAAGAATCCAGAATCCACTTCCAAACTTTGACTCCTCATGGGCTCAATGAGGAGTTTAATTTCACTCCATTTATTCATAAGTAACTTTGTTATTCTGATCCTTCATTTTGAGCTTATGAACACTGACCTAACCTTAATACCATGACTACTTAGCGTTGTACCATAACACCCTAGCTTTATACAATTTCAAAACACTCTTGCAGTTCTTTCTGACATGCGCTTTCGTGTATACACCGCATTTGCCTATTTATTTATCTACTTATAATCTCTAACCCCGCTGGGACTACCGTAATTCTACAGTTTTCCTACTAGCCATGACACATACCAATTATAAATTGCATGTTTTTCTAATCTGGATACTAGTTTGTCACGTTATAATTAATCTTGCCGCTTTTTGTGTACATTAGCATATATTTTGACTACTTCAGCACTGCCTCTCTGGGCATCCTTTCTTTAACTCATTTTGGCTGCCATACATTTGATCAAGCTAAATTTCCATATTTTTATTATCATTATTATTATTTCATTTTTATTTTTATTCTTATTTTTCAAATTACTATTATTTGTTCCTTGTATAATTTCAAATAGATATTACTTTTCTGTTGCAATCTGTAGACTATATTCTTATACACCTTACCATGGTCCCCTTATTGGATGATCTAGTACAAACTCTGATCATCTTTGGATATCTTTATGTCTCCCCAGCATCAGATCTTGCTCTGGTATATTCATTAATCTGGATATTTTCCCTGGGTAATATATATTTTATATATTTTTTTTTTCTATTATTACCCTTTATGCGTTTGTTTCAAATCGTACATTTGGGAAAATAATATATTTATCTTTTGATTATTTGTTAACTACCTTTTCCACTTGGTTACGCAGTATATCCTTTTACATCTGTTTCTTCATTATATATCTTTTACTAGGCTCCTTAATATAGGAAGTGATTAAATCATCATTCACTCAAAGGGTTAAATCCTTCGTTATGCAGAGCAAACACACCCCCCTTTGATGTCATATCTTGACATCCAATCCCAATACATTGTTTCTAACCAATCAGCTATTCCTTCTCCCTATTTAAACCCGGCTTTTTCTCCCGACCGGTTCCCCTCTGACGAGCTTGGCGGGCGAAACGCGCGCGGCAGGGGCAACACGGCTTTACACATGCCGCTTTTCTCTTATCATAGACTATTTTTATTTTTTGTTCTCTCTGATTTTGTGGCAGTTTAGATTCCAGTGGGGCGAGCTTCAGGTGCCCTCGAAGGCACGGGGGTGGAGTGTCAGCCGTAGCGCTAGCTTTTTCTACTATTACCAGGGTAGTGTTAGACACCTTGTATGTTATAGCCGTCTTTCCATTCTAAGATACCGAGTATTAGCTTAGTTATCTCAACTTTACTCATTTATTTCTTACCTTTTCTTTTTCGCTTTATTATTATTTTTGCTACCCTTTGAGCTATACCTCCGGTTGTTACATCATTTGATATTACAGTACAACATAGTACAGTGACATTTGTTACCCTCTTGTTACAGTTTCAGGGCTGTACCCTAATTACTTAAAGACACATACCTTTATAGCGCCGGCTGAACACTGTTGAGAACCCTTACTTGCCGACATACATAGACATATACCGTATGTTGTAACTTACGAACGTGCTATTCATATATACTAATTCATATTGATTAGGCTACTCAGGCTGCACCATTCGTTTTGAGTATTCACAAGTATCTTGTATCTCTCTACTTCTTGTTATTGGCATTTTTGCGCAGACGTGCGCTATTATTAGGTTAACGCACATGAACTCAAATCAGAGTCTATCTTACATATATACCAATATTCTGTGTTATGTTCTTTTTTTAACAATTATTTATTGTTTAATAAACTTGTTTTTTGTTTTTTGGACCCTGTGGTCCTTTTAGACGAGCCTGTATTTTATACATTTGGTATAGTAGTCCCAGGCCCTCACTAGTTCTCTCCCTACCTGAAAGGTACACATCTTTTTTGTTTTGTATCCATTTTCACTAGGGGTTATCCCCCTCTCTTTGTGTACATTGGCTGTATTTCAGACAAGTTTTTCATTTTTATAATTCCTAAATGCTAACTTTTTGTTTTTAACTATTTTGGCCACATCTGCGGAGTACCACAGTGGTTTCTTGAATTTTTTGCTTTTACTGACAAGCCTAATGCAATTTTCTGTTGCCTTCAATAGTGCATTTTTAAATAATCCCATTTCTCTTGGACTCCATTTAAATTGCTCCAGTCTGATAATGACTCCTCTACCCACATTCTAATTTTAGAAAAGTCTGTTTTTCTAAAGTCTAAAACTTTTGTTTTTGTGTGATGTGACTCAGTCACTGTTCTTATATTAAACCACACTGACTGATGATAACTGGATCCTAAACTTTCACCTACAGTAATATCTGATAGCAAGTCTCCATTTGTTAACACTAAATCTAGTATGGCCTCTTTACGAGTTGGCTCCTCAACAACTTGTTTTAGAGACAATCCCAGTAGGGAGTTTAGAATATGTGTGCTCCTGGCAGTAGCTAATTTTGTTTTCCAATTTACATCAGGAAGATTAAAGTCACCCATGATGATAACTTCCCCCTTCATTGTCATTTTAGCTATTTCTTCAACTAGTAGATTATCTAACTCTTCAATGATACATTTGTGCTGTGATTGTTGGGACAGAACTCGAAACTCTGGACCATTTTGCCAAAATCTGGACTGTCGGGAGGCATGAAAATGCCTCTGAGAGGGGTGCTG